TAGTGTGATGGATGGAGTATCTCCTCTGCTATGGCGCAGGAAATACACGGGACCAGCCACGCACTCGGATGGCAGCGCCGATGGCGTATCCACAACGGCACGCGGAACTCTTGCCGTCAAGCTACTATGCCGCCGATAGAGGCATCCGTACGGCACGTGGCTCCCCGTACGAGTACCATGGAACAGGAGATTGATACGACCCCTTTAGGGAAGTACAATCTCCTCCAGAGGGAAGCTACCGCTTCTGGCCCTGCAGATACTCCGTCGGATCCTCTGCGCAGGTTAACTAGTAGCACCCCTTGTGTTCGATGGAGGAGTATATAGAGTAGAGCGCTGGCCGCAATGTAGATAGACTCCTCAGCTTACGTTTTAGCAATCTATGGACTATTGACTTGTTCTAGTTTCGAGCCATTGCATACAGAACTTTGTTCAGTCATACTCTAACAAAATTGAAAAATCACTTTTTGTAATGGAAAACTATTTTTTTGTTACATCTTAAATATTTCTAAATTTATTGTCATTAGATACCTTTGTACAGTAACTGTAAGACCATTAAGAGAGGGTAACATATTAAATTCTTAAGATTAATATTATCTAGATATACGTAACAATCTACTAGTAACTAACATTAAAGATACATAACATGCTGAAAGAATGTTAATCAGTAATACAAACCTGATATCAAATCAATCTCAAATCCTTCAACATATCAACATCAACGTCACATTATAACACAACAACCATTCTCTTCGTCCTCATCATCATCCCCATCATTATTCTCATTACCTCCGCAGAATCCGCAGAATCCGCAACAGCCACAACATTCGTCTTCGCTCTCGCCATCATCTCCGTGATAGCCACCGTTGGCCTCCTCTTCCACCTTATCAGCCTCGATTGGTGAGTTATAAGACTGTTGACCAAAGCTGCCAATACCATTGCCGTTCTCTTCCCCGTCATCAATGTCACTTGTTGAGCCGTGAGATTGATGATCATAGTTGCCAACAACATTGCTGTTCTCTTCTCCACCAACACTTCCCTCAATAGGTGAACTGGCATTGCTGTTACTTACATCGCTTGTTGTTTCGCTATTATTCGAAAATGAGTGGCGACTTCCGGTTTCACTAGGCTCTTTAGAGGGCTTCGGAGCTCCGTTGAGAGTCACAACCGAGGGAGGTCCATAGATGTAAGTTGTTCTTGAATCCGGTATTTGCTGAGAACTTGAATGCTTCGAGTCGTGGCGCTGGCCCGATAGGGGACGAAGAAGGATGGGTGGGTTGGGGTAATGGTCAAGTGGGGGCCGCGAAGAGTGGGAGTGGTTTGGTCTCGTTGGTTGAGGATATACCATTTTGGATGCTTGGCTGTATCCGACGTTCTCTCGAGGCGGAGAGCTCACGGCTTTCCTACGGGTGCCGCCCGATCCCTGAGCATTACCTCCAGGTCTCATTGAATCCGAGTCACTATGTCTGATCGCCTTCCGGGTTGGGCGCGGCTGCGAGTGAGTGGAAGGTGCGACTCCGTGTGTTAGCTGGTTCACTGCTGGACTCGACAACGCGGGCAGCCCTCCCAATGCCAACGGATACTGGTTTGGAGGGAATGTTGGATGCGCTCTAGGTGGCTGTCTCGGCTGCGGTAGAAACTGATCGTACCGGTCTACCATCTGGTGGGTGGATTGCCATCCTGCCCCCGACGGATACTGGTTGGACGGGAATGCTCCTTGTTGAAAAAGTGGCGGTTGTAACTCTGAAAGGACTGGATCAGAGCCTGTCACCGTCCTCATGGACGGCCGTCCCATTGCTGCCGGAGATTGTTCGGTTATAGGGACTATATGCTTTGCAGCCACGGCTTTTTCCACGTCGCTGTTGCTGATGAAGTTCAAAAGCTCTTTAGCATATGCAGCCGCCGTCATAGCTGCGTACTTTTGCCAACAGTCGTTCTTGTGCGAGTCGGCATAGCCGGAGATGCCTCGGATGACCAGACATGGAAAGTGGTCCATCAGTCCAGCAGCTTCTATTTCGACAGACAAAACGCCATTGAGCTCCTTGCACAACTTGTCTCTGGTGACTCCATCCTTAATTATCATGTTTCCGGAGGCTATCGTACCATAGTGGATTCTAGGTTCCGTCGGCAACGATCGGCGTTGCGGTCGAGGTCGCAACTTGCTCACGTCACACTTCTCACAATTGTCATATCCGTGATTGCGATCGTTATGCTCATAGTCGGAAAGATATAGGTTATCTTCTTGTTTGGGTCGGTCATAGTCTTCTCGCATATCCGGTATTCGCTGAAGAGTTTCTGAACAAAATGTCCCAAGCTTGGGTCTTCGTCTCTCATGCTTGGATTGGATCATATTTAAGGCGCTAAGTAACACAGTAGGAGGTTTGTTCAGACTGCCAGTACGTTGGAATCTTTCCCCATGGAGTTTCTTTCCGAGGTCGTACTGTACCACTCCTCCAAAGATGTCATCAGGCCTGCTAACGACCACGTCGCCCAGTCGTATATCGGCTTTTGCGCTTGGAATTCCGCCACCAATCCCGACCATCAAGCCGAACTTGATCGACGGAAAGCTTCTGAGCATCTGAGTTGCCACCGTAGCGGCCATGGCTGTGCCGGACGGGTTGGGTAGACATGCAATAACCACTTTGTGACCTCGAATCTCACCCAAGAGGTAGATGATCTGGTCGGAGCTGTCCAGGCTTCGGGTGGACCCGTGTTCCTTATCGAGCATGACGCTTGCGGCGGTCAACTCCAGTGGAAGTGCGCAGATCCAGCCCACCGTATACTGATCATGGCTCAGCTTTCCCGTAGTTTGAGCCATTGAGTTTTCAAGGTTGGTGCTTCTCTTTGTGTTTGAGCTCCAGCTCGCCTGTCCAAGATTGGCAGCAGATTGGAAAGCAGACAGCGGCTTGAAGAAAGAGCAGATGATTAAATTGTAAGAAGCAACTGCTTATGGCTGTTGAAGAACTGGCTATGTCACATATTAGTGGTGGAATGACCAGGATCACTAACACTCACACTTCTAAGAGACAGAGAACAGCACATTTGCTTAGATGTTCGCATGCCACACGGCTGATACTTCAGGGAGTCCTCTCCTCCCGCTATATACATATCTTTCTGCCCTCCACTCACGAAGCTGACGCTATCGTATATTGCCGGGCCCAGACAAGCTGACCGCCGTCATGAAAAAGAGTAGCCCCAAATCAGCCTCTTCATCAGCCTTACCCTTCAGTCCGTCTAGCTACTCCATATCTCAGCCCCAATGCAACCCGCGGGCGTACATCTCTATGATCTGGTGGCTGGCCCATAGGGAGCAAATGTTATACATAGAATAGGGATTCGTGGCCCGAAGCACTTCCGAGCAGGCGTACACTTAGCGACGACAATATGGGGCCATGGGCAGTGGCGTCCATGCGAGGAACCTAGTTGAAGCGATGTGGCTCACAATCACTCGAAGGACGGTCAACACCGCTTTCAAAGCACCAACGAAAGAATAGCTTTGTGCAGGTTGGTTGTCCTTTGGAGCCATACAGCGGTGCCAAGTTCTGCACTGCCTGCATAAGGTCGCATCTAGGGCTTGAGTATCAGATAGAAGGGGTGGAAAGGATGCGAAAAGATGATGATTGGGTTACAATCTCAGTGTTTTACCAGCTCCTGCAGAGTTCACATAAGGTCGCATCCTAGGCTCAAGGTATTGGATAGAAGGGATGGACAAGATGGGAATAGATGATGATTGGGTTGTAATCTTAGTGCTTTACCAACTTCTGCGGAGCTTGCATGAGGTCGCATCTTGGGCTCGAGGTATCAAATGAGGGGGAGGAACGAGGAACGACAGTGGCTGCCAGGGGTGTACCCGGAACGACTAGCCCAATTCCTTAGAACATACGTTCGATCCATACCACTTAGCATATGATAATGGTAGTCTCGGCCCCCAGCGCTTACTACGGTAGGAGGCATAATGATTGTCACCTGCGTACTAGTAACTGTTTGTAACGCCAAGATAGAACGCCACAAAATTGCTCGATTAGAAACTAGTCTATTTTTCTCAGTATCAAAGTGTGCATTTCTTTAGCATCAACAAATGTCTTGTATCTTGTTAGCATTGAGAATTTGTAGATGGCGCAGAATGAGATAGAATCAGTAGAATAATGCGTAAAATCAACAAAACGCGCGTAGAATGGCGACAGTAAGCATTCGTACAGAGCAACAGGGTATCTGTATGAGCGCTGTTAATGACGTTACTTACTAGTGCGCAGGTGACAATCATTATGCCTCCTACCGTAGTATGCAGTATGCTGGTTCCGCCATCTCCTCCTGAAATACGGAGTATGGGCCGTGAGAAGCGATCGATTGCCCAGTGGTCGGCTGCGGGCCAAATCAGTTTTGACCTTGGCAATTTCCAAAATCACCTGAGTTACTGAGTTCCAGAAAAATTCCAGAAGGATTCCAAACCCAAACAATCTTCACTCTCGATTGGCTCGAATTCTAACAATAACTTGCGCTCACCGAGTTGGGGGTGGCTTGTCTGGCTAAATGACTTTGAGAATGGAGGCTCTGCCCAGGTCATCTAGGCAAAGTTTGTTTCAAGGTGCTGAAGATGCATTGCGGGACATTAGAGAGGGCGCATGAAAGGCCAACGGCGACCAGGAGGGCTGCGGTCAGCTATGGCCGTCAGAAAGACCCCCAATGTTAGGAGACTCTTGATACAGCAGTTCTACTTATGGCAAAGTCGTAGGGAATCCCGGTCAAGGACAAGCAGCATTGGCAATGGGGATGTATATAAAAGTGTGCTGCTCTGAGTCTTGATCCTGCTATTGATCATCTGCTTCAATCCTCATCCCTGACCTCACGCCTCAGAACAGCAAAGAAAAGCCCATCATCATGGCCTTTGGCAAAAAGATCCACTGGCAAGTCCTCAACCATCACGTCCAACTCCTTAAGTTTCTAACCAACCTTAGGGGCGGTGTCGCCTGTATTTTCATCTCCGTCCTTCTGCTCCTTGCCGTCTCTATCGCCGCCCCGGAGTCCAACAGCAACGCCATCTTCAAAGTCAAGGCAAATCAAAACAGCTCCACGCCAAATATCTCTATTCACTTCGGCAGCTTTGGATACTGCGTCCACGACCTGCCGGTGGGCAAGTACGTTACCCTTTTCCCATTTCCCCAGCCTACTTCAAGGTTCTCCTTCCCCCTATCGCTCAGGTGTCTCCTATCGGTGTAGCACCAACTTGCAACCGTCCAGTCAACACTACAGTTACGCCCTACGAACCCGCTCCCAGTGATTTCCTAGACAACTGCACCGATAGCGCGATCGGCTATAGCCCAAGCGAGGCCATCGAGCCGACACTAAAAGTCTATATGACCGACGCGGCGCGCTCGAAAAGCACTATGTTTACCAGGGCGCTCGTACTACATCCCATCGCTTGCGTCGTTGCCCTCGTGGCAACGTTGCAATGCTGCCGGACCGGTTTTCGCAACAATCTTGCCGGCACTTTCATCGGTTGCAATGCACTCATGCTTGTGGTGACTGTCATAGCCTTCGACTTTCAGCTTGCCAATGTGAGTTTCCATTTTTCTACCCTTTTCTTCCCTTTCTCTCATTTCCCTTATCTTCTCTTTTTATGTTTCTTTGCTTCATTTATTCCAAATGCTCTTTCCCCCTTCTTCCCTTTGTCCCTTTATTTTTCCTACCTTTCTGATTCCCATTTTCTCCTTTTCACTCTTTATTGCCTCTACCCCCTCCCTGTTCTTGGTCCAATCTTTTTCTCTTGGTTAAAGCGCATGCTAATATCTAGTATCAGACTGTCCGCGTCGCTGTCACTGATCAAAACGAACATCGGGCGAGCGTTGAAACCGCGGGCATCTGGGTGACGGTGGCGGCTGGCCTGTTTCTGCTCCTCGGCGTGACCCTCGTCTTTTTCACGTGCTGCACCGGCCGTCGCAAGCAGCACAAAACTAGTGGGTCCAAGAAGCATATAAAAGGGCGAGGCCGGTCCAAGAAATAGTCTCCTGGACTTTTGATATAGTGGCGGACAAAGAATCAAAGGAGGGTTATAAGATAGTCGAAATAATGCCATGAGGAGAAAGGGGGACGGAGTAATGGTGTAATGCTTGATTTCAGATTAAGACATACTTAGACTTAACCCTCGTGTTACTTACTATTTTCAATAATATCCTTATCATATGACATTGTTCGATTGAATTGTGCCTCTGAAGCTACCATTTTGACCAGCTTTCGATCCTATGTTCCTTTCAGATGAAGTTTAGCCATTACCGTGGACGCCAGCGATAAAATGACAATATCATTATTTGATATCCCTTGTGTCACTCAAATCCCCTCACTTTCTTATTGAGAATAGCATTGCTGTGGTGAGGTGGGTCAGCTGCGGAGGGTTAATGTTCAACCTGTTCAGCCCCTTGGGGCCCGAGGGCCTTGACGGAGATACTTAAGTGGTGATAAGCGGCAATACGTATTTCAGATTATTTCTCATGGGCCTTGTGGGACAAAAGGCTCTCCTTCCATTCACACAATAACCAGTGTAGAAAAGTAAACCAACGTGTTACACTACAGGTATGATCTGCAAGTGTAACGGTGTACAGAGTCGTGCAGCAAAAGTAGTCAAAATACTCTAAGGATATATGTGCCAAGAGGTGCACTCTTGGCAGTTATGCAATCATGTCATTTGACTCCTCCACTATCAGCTTTAGGCCTGTCGAGATCCTAAACAGTGGGTTTTTGGATGATCTTTGGCCCCTAGCTGTCTGAATTTAGGTCAGTGTACCCGAGAATAGTGGTTACTTAGGGGACATAGTAGTAACATTTCTTGTGACGTTATAAGCTGGCTACAGGCTTTAGCCCCTGGAGTGTTTGGAATGACACTACAAGAATAAGTGTTAAGACAAATTCATCTTTTATTTTGACAAGCTATTCTTTTCATGTATTTTGACAACTTCTGGTGTATGACTCCGCAACATTTTAACTCCACTAGAGCTTGCAGCAAGACACGCTAGTTAAAGCCACGTCTTGACGCGCTTTCCCCGCCCATTCATTTGGGCCTTCTAGCCCCATATCCACCATTCTGACGTTAAATGGACCCGTTTTTTCATTGGTCAACACACAGATGCCAAGATAACCTTAATTAAATATACACTAAGTCTAATTGGGAAGTAGCAACACCAACAAAAAAACAACTTGCTCAATGTGCTGTACTCAATCTATTCAGAGGGCAAATGACGCGCCCAGCACCTCGAATTATAACAAATTGGGATGCTGCACTTGCTACAAGACCATTTGGTCTTATGGATACCCGCTCTGCTGCCTCTTTGTGCGTTATTTGCAGCATTAGTAGGCAGTTGCTGAAGTGCTTTGCGCGGTCTGCCTTCTTTTCGACTGCAGATCGGATTACATATCTTGCAGCGGCGATAGCCATCTCCTTTAACCTACGAATGACCCTTGTAGCTATCTTTTGGTACTGGCCTAGTATGAATAGCTTGAGAAGGGCGTGGTTGTTGTCGCCGCCGCCGTAGAATAGCTCCAGGTCCTCGTAGTAGAGTTTGCGCTATTTCTTCTTGAAACTAAGTATGAGAGAGCTTTCTGCGTTTTTTGCCTAGCTTATAGAGGATATAAG